CACATGGTATGTTTTATCATGAGGAAGCTTACAAACTAAATACGCAACTATGCTTTCTATATTACTAAGGCCAGGAATAGATTCTAAAGATGTGTTTTTTTCAATACGCGAAGTAAACAAAAATGCCTATGTATATCCACGATTACAAAGTGAGATTATTTTGTAGCCTTCTGGTGTTGGTTTGTTTTTCATCCTTACTGTGTGGACGCTTCGCCTGGAGAAGCGTACAATCATCTCATCAATGGAAATATTTGAGCTAGGTACATAAAATCTCTTAACTGCCTCTTGAATATGTGTCGCCAATGGTTCTACTTTAGAATACCAAAAAGGATACACTTCACTAGAAGACGAAATATGAAAAAATCTCTTTATTTGTTGAAACCTAACCATATTTATAAATCTTCTAATTTCATGTGATGCCTTTTTTTCATCCCGATTCCATAGATCTTCAATAGCATTAATTTGATAAACACCCATATAAATAATCAACCCAAGCCAAATTTTTAACTCACTTAAAGTTAATGGATTCCATGAACGACTTCTTTCCCTACCCTTTACTTGTTCATATATATTAGTATTTTCAACTATTGTCTGCAATTGTTTATTGGTAAAAAACAACTGAAACAGTGCAAGCGGAATAACGATTCTAAGTTGAAATTCGTGAGGAAGTGTTGCATATCCTTTATGAAGTGGATAAAGATCTCATATAGAATTAAATATAGAACATTCTAACACTGGTAATGCTGTATCGGTATTAATATTACTAGTTTGCGTCTCTTTATTATTTTTACTATTTCCTTTATTTATCGACTTTCCTTTTCCTCTACCTCTTCCTTTGCCCCTCATGCTACCCCTTCCCTACTTTTTCCCCTATCTCTACCCTTCCACTTCCACTTCCGCTACTACTTTCTATATCCAGTTCTATATTCACACGATCTTGTTCATTGAATTCTTGCTTATTATCATTGGCAACTTCTACAAGTTCGTAATCGATAATCAATTCACCATGGTTATCATGCTCAAAAGTAACCGAATATTGTGTATCAGAATTCTCGTCATCAGAAGACATGACTTAAAAAAAAAAAGGAAGCAAACTTGTAAAGCATAATAAAAGATATGGGATGCGAAACATAAAAACACGATAGTTATTGTAAACAGTTTATCAAAAAAAAAAATGTAGCGATCAAAAAAAAAAAAGAATGTAGCGATCAAAAAAAAAAAAAAATTGTAGTGATCAAAAAAAAAAAAAAGAATGTAGCGATTAAAAAAAAACTGTGTATTCAAAAAAAATGATAATTGACAAGGTTAGAAGATAGTCTGTTACTATCTTAATTTGATACAGAATACACCATCACTCTTACAACCCACAATGAGTAAGATTTTTCATTATCAATTACTTGAGCGAGCAAAATAATTGATTTTGAAACTTTTATTTTTATATTCGCGCAACAATTCAGCCAACATCTAAACAAGGAAACAAACGTATGTATCTGAATTACTTCTTATTATTTAACCATACATTTTACTCTAAACACGCTGATTGTCTAAATATCCTAACAAACGGTATCATCATGACAATACATTAAATTGATTTAGATAAGACGAAGACAAAGAGCGAAGCCTGATGTTATTTTTCTTTGTTCATGACTATGGAACTATCATTATCAAAGATAAAACTCTATTGTGTTAACACATGTTTTTTTACAAGTGTAGAGTATACACATGCATACGTATATACTTATATATATACGAATGTGTATGTATATATTCGTACAGTGCGAAAGGTTGATAACTTTAAAGAAAATGCATGATTTTCAAAACTAGAAGAATCAGACCAATCATCTAATAAAATTTCTAGGCAAATTTGCCTGGAAAACAGTTCACGATTTATTTCGAATCAAAGTTGGATATAAATATTTAAGATCAACAATTTAAATTATCATTAATGCAATTTGGCTTACAGTAGCCATACAGTACAATCATTAATCTTAAACATTTATATCCAACTTTGATTCAAAATAAATCGTAAACTGTTTTCTAGGCAAATTTGTCTGAAAATTATAATTGGACAGGTTCTTCTGGTTCTGAAAAATCATACATTAGGGGCATTTACTTAGTGCGATTTGGTATTACGAGAATATTTGTTACCCGATTTAAAAATTTTAGGCAAATTTGCCTGGAAAACAGTTTAAGAGATAATCTAAAATAAATACTACAAAAAAAGTAATCTATATTTTCAAATATTATTAAACCAAATTTCATTTAAATATTCTAAATTATTAAAAAAATAGATCAGTAGTATATTTATAGTATCAACACAAGCAAATTTGTCTATGTTGGCCTATAATCTAAAAGATAACTTTTTAAATTAATTTTATATTAGACCATACAAACTTAATAAATTGGTTCTCATAACCTGGCCAGATCAAATTTCGCAAAATTCTTAAAAAATTTTTGACTATATTTATTATCTGGATGAAGTTTTTTTTAGAAGTTTATAAAAATTTTTATATGCTTTTTATATATATAAATGTTTTAAAAATAAAATTAAAAGCTGGGTTGCCAAGTCATTTTTCAAATTTTATATTATAAGAACCAAAAAATTAATTTTGTATAGCCTTATTCAAAAACTTTTAAATAAATTAATATTATAAACTTGTAAATTTGGTGTTTGTAAAGTAGTATAATTTGGTTTTTGCAAAAATAGTATAATTTAGTTCTTGCAAAACAGTATGATTTGGTTCTTGTGAAGTAGTATAATTTGATATTTATAAAATCTAAAATATGATAAATCTTAAATAATAATATTAGAAAATATTAATATTTATTCAATTTTATTATAAAAAATAGTTGTTT